CCTCTTCCAGACAAGTATTTGTGCTGAAGACCCCAGTAAACGGCTAAGTGATCGTGTATGCGAAGTACTCACGGCTTCTTTGATCCAGCATTTTCTGAGGTTTTAGACCGGTATCCAATGTGCCCATACGTGTCTAGAATGCGCATAATTCTTGTAGAACTTGGAATTGAGAAGGCACAAGTGTTGGCATGGAGCTCTGAGCTTCAGCGTAAAGCGATGAAGAAAAGAGACGACCCAGAAGGAAATGGTGGATCCGGATACTCCTTCTTCCACCTACTGGGAGCACCTCGGCTAACAGCCAACTCGCGAGCGGCTTGCGTTGGTCCCCATTCCGGGTTAGCCTCCCAGACAATAAGCTCCTCAAGCTTCTGCATGCGCGTCAGTGATGTGCACCGACGCGCTGTAGCCCACTCCGTTGCATCCTGTTCTGATGCGGTTTCCATCGCCACGCTGTTCTTAAAACCTGTTCGCCCCCACCGCAGAAATCGTAGAATGACTTGTGGGAAGTACGGTTTTTTGTCAGGTTTATACAGACCGTTCGTTTTGCGACAGATCATTTAATAGCTAACAATCGTGGCCAATCAGTAACAGACCACTTATTTGGTAACGGGCCACTTAGTCGATAATATACGTGGCCACTTATTCAGTAACAGGCCACTTATTTGGTCACGGGTCACCTATTCAGTAACGGCCCACTTATTTGGTAACAGGCCACTTATTCAGTAACAGGCCACTTATTTGGTAACAAGCCACTTATTTGGTAACAGACTTTAATCGGTTATCTATGTACGTACAAACAAGTCTTGCGTTTCACGCGGAGCCGGATCGAGGATTGCTCCGATTGCAACACGAGCTCGAAACTCTGTAATCAGGTCATCCAACTTACCTTCATGGTAGTATTTTCGCAATTGCTTCAAGACGGATGATCCACTCTTACGCTTAGCCCCGTGCGCAACGAAAAAATTAAACATGTTCTCTTCCGAGTGTTGCCCAACTTTCAGGACATGGTCACAATACGTAGGTGACGATGGGTTCAGCTTGAAGCCACCTGGTAGGAAGAGCTTCATGTAGTTCACAATTTGCTTGTACGCTGATTTCTTTTGCCGATTCTCGCAGACATCCCAGAGCCGCGGCGTCTTGGCATACCACTCAAACCAGATTGCGGCTGGCCATTTTGAAGTCGCCTTAGAGCCACAATCCTTGGATTTTGCGTATGCAACAGTGTGGCTTGAGGTATTTCCCGCCACTTCTCCCGCTGTCCCGGGCTCACATCTGGGCATTGACACGGGCATGGATCCATCGCTCTGAGCTTGTTGTTTCTCCAGCTCCGTTACCCGTTTAGCCAACGCTTGGTTCATCGCTACCAGCTCGCTAATGACGCGATTTTGATGGTTGATCAGCGTATCTTCGAAAACTTGTTGCCACCATTTCCTTCTGGGTCGTCTCTTTTCTTCATCGCTTTACGCTGAAGCTCAGAGCTCCATGCCAACACTTGTGCCTTCTCAATTCCAAGTTCTACAAGAATTATGCGCATTCTAGACACTTATGGGCACATTGGATACCGGTCTAAAACCTCAGAAAATGCTGGATCAAAGAAGCCGTGAGTACTTCGCATACACGATCACTTAGCCGTTTACTGGGGTCTTCAGCACAAATACTTGTCTGGAAGAGGAGATTGGCAATCCTACGGCTTTGTTCCCGTGTTGTGGAATCAAACCACGATAACGTTGGCACCTCGAGCTTGGCGCTTGCGTCCCATCCGCTCAGAACTCGCGCAACCTTCTGATCCTCACTTGTGGTATTAAACACATACGCAAACGCCTTGTTCGTAGACGTCATGTTCCATGAACCACGGTCAAAAATTCACTGAGCGCTTAGAGTAGCATCACCGTTCGCATGCTGGGCACCACCGCAGCGGAATGAATGCGAGGTCAAGTTTGGGGTAGGCTTTGCTCTTGTTTGTGCTTCGCTCGAGGATTTGACAATGCGGTTGACGTACGCGTGTAGCTTCATGTTATCATCGTTAGGTTTGCGCTTCTTCGTTCGTGGCTCGCTTGAAGTCTCGTGGGGCGTTTCTGTGTCGACTCCGTC